CACCCCCTCCCAGCATCAGCATGGGCAGGTTAAAGCTTTTCACAAACTCCACACACTTGGCATGACCTGCAGCAAAAGCAGTGTGGAGGGGGAGAAGGTCACGCTCATGGCATAAGAACGCACTTTTTTCCACGGAATCTCAGCGATGGCAGCTCAGCACAGGCACTGTGTGCTCCTACCTTTGATGGTGAGGTTGAAGCAGCCCAGCCTGTCCCCGGACAGGGAATCCGACCCGCACTGCAGGACAACAGCGCTCGGCTGGAACGTCTCCATGACTTTAGAGATCACCTAAACAACAACCCCCTTGTCACACGCTGTGCACAGGACACTGTCACAGCAGACACAGTGACACCCACGCCAGCCAGGGCCGCCAAGACATCCCTGGTGCTCCCACAGCTGCCGACTCCCCTGTCCCGGAACACTGGGGCTCTCACACGCCGGAGCTCCCGGACAGGCCGCGATTGTTCGGGGGGGGAATAGAGCCCCTGGTGAGTCTCAGCACGGAAAAACTCCACCAGCCTGCCCGAAGAATGGCTCCAGGGACAAAGTGGGACCCACTCAGCAAGGATGAGTTCACTCACGGGCTTGAAGATGGCTTCGTAGGACTCGTCGTCGATGCCGTCCCGGAGGGGGTAGTTCACAGCGTAGTACTTGCCTTTGCCTGCACCAATGTCCTGTTGGAGTGAGAGAGGAGAGGCCACAGCTCACCAGGAGTCCAGCTGGAACACCAGAAACTGTGCTCCAAACCAGGGAGGGGAAGCCTGGAATTCCAGCAGTGTAATCCCAACGTTAAGCCCAGCCCGCAGTGCCAGTCTGGGCTGACCACGTCACTACTTTAAAATTATATATATATATATATATTTTCATTTCTATTATCACTCTCATACTCAGGTGTATTATTAAAAATAACTTGTTAAAAATAATTAATTCACTCCTGGTGCACAGTGGTTGCACCAGGATAAAAATGCTGCAGTTGCATCAGCAGCAAACTCCAGGCAGGGCTAAAAAAAACACAACTCAAGGGTGAAAGGCAGGAGAATTCACATCAGAAAAATGTAATTCCACTTAAAAAGCACATAAAAAGAGGTAAAGAACCCATCACCCCTGAGAAAAGGGGCATGGAAATGCCAGAAGTCACAGAGGGGCACCTGGATCTACCTGAGTGACACAGTTACCACCAGGACTCATCAACACAAAGAACTGAGTCACAGGAAGAAATGCCAACGGGATAAATCCACTCAGAAACCTTCCCCCAAGAGCCTGGGTGACCAAGCAGCTCCAGATGACCAACAAACCATTTCCAGAGCCTTTTTTTCTGAGCAAAATAACGGTGATATCAACCCCCTGGGTTCAACACGTGACCCCAGGCACAAAGCTCCCACTCCACCAGCTGAACCTACACCTCTGCCCTCAGGAAAAGGGTGTCACTCTGAGGGCAGGAACACCCAGGGGACGGAAAAGGGGCAAATTCCAGGGTCATTTTCAGCCAGGCCTTCAGTCTCACCCGCAGGTCCCCCGTTCCTGGGAAGTATTCCCCGTACTTGTGGAAGGACACGGTCATGACACGGTCCGTGGTGTAAAAGGCCTCCTCCACACCATCCCCGTGGTGAATGTCGATGTCGATGTACAGCACCCTCTGGTGATACCTGGGAGAGGGCAGAAAGGAGTCAGGATATTCCATTTATCCATCAGAGAAAACGAGAACAAGGAATCTGGGGCTGGTTCCCAGGCTCTACAAGGAGAAAGGCTGCAGAGAAGGGACCAACAGAGGAAAATAAAGTGGCTTTTGCTGCTGAGGGCAGGCCCAGCTCAGTTTATTCAGATTCAGCCAACAAACTGCATTTTTATGCCCAAGCCCCCCAGTGAGGTTTGCCCTGAGTCAGGAGTTGCCACAACGTTCCAGCTGTGCCCTCTTTTCCGGGGTGGGTGGCAGAGGGAGGGCACAAAGAGCATCAGCCCAGCTCTCCAGAAGCCTCTGCTTCCTGCACAGTGCCACTGCTTAGACACAGACATCCCAAAAGCTGGGAAAACACAGCTTCAAAAAGGCAACAGAAAGAAAGGGCTGGGAAGGAGGAGGTGCAGCAGGAGGCACAGACAGAGGGGGTGGACGGTGCTGCCCTTACTTCAGGAGCTCCAGGATGGCCAGGACGATGTCGTTGACGTAGCAGAAGCCAGAGGCCTCCGACTTCTTGGCGTGGTGGAGGCCTCCTGCCCAGTTCACTGCAATGTCTGTCTGCTGCTTGTTCAGCTTCACTGCACTGGCTGGGGGGGAACAGTTAGAGAAGGTAAGAAATGAGAGCAAAGGGCTCGTGGCAGGGACGGGCCCTTCCCACAGCACTGCCCACACGGGGCTTGGGTCCCACACAGAGCACGAGGGTCGAACACTGCATGAGTTCACTGACAGGGCAAAGGAAGGGAGGGGAAAGGGGGAAAGAGGGGAGAAGGGGGAAGAGAAAGGGGAAGAGAAGGGGAAGTGCAGGTTCTGCTCTATCTGCACACACTCACTGCCTCCCATTTTTGCCTCAGAGCAAAAGCTCTGCCCAAACAAGCGCCCAGCTGGGGTCCCACTGAACACACTCCGGATTTCTCAGTGATCCCCGAACAGAAAGCTTCAATCTTCAGGTGAATGTGCATTTAGGCAAATGCTGAGCCTTCCCTCAGCCCCCTTCGTAAACTTTGCTGTGCAAGTCTCCCAGGACCAAGGCAAACCACCTGCCCCGTGGAATCCGCAGGACCAGAGGGCACAGAGCTCCTCCAAAGTGGCTGTTGGTGCTGCTGCACCACCTCACAGGAAGCACAGGCTTGGAGGTGTCACTGTGATGTAGCAGCCACAAAGCTCTCAGTAACAGCTCCCCAACACCTGCCCTGCCTGCAGCAAAGCACGTGGAAACTGTGAGAGCATTTCAAGGCTCCAGCTTTGAGGGAACTCACTGAACCCCCCCCAGCTCCTTGCTCGTGCTCTTGTTGTAGCCAACAGACAAAGCAACCCTGTTTCTTTCCTGTCCTGCCCACTGCAAGGTTTTAACAGTTTGGGTTTTTTTAAATATAAAGTAGCTCACATTGATTTTTTTTTTTTTTTTTTTGTATTAAATCCTGTTTGCTGTGGTTTTGGTTTAGCTCTACCACTGGTGATGCTGTTACACCACTTAAGGAGCCCTTCACATACTCGAGTGAGGAAACCCAGACTAAAACAGAGAGGGATCCATCAACATGCACAGCTTGGGGCTCACACAGGGAGAAATCTGGATCTAATTATTAGGGAAATCAGAAATAGGTTCAGAGAGCTCCCCCACCACCCCCTACAACAATGTGTTTCCTGGACAGAGCCCCACGAAATACATCTGCTTTTTAAAGGGGAGAGAGAGCACAGGACTTGTGATCTTACCAACAGAGCCTCCAGCAGAGAGCTGACAGAACTCAAACAGCCCATCAAACACAGGGCAGTCCTCCCCAACGTTAACTAGAGAGGAAAATAAAACAATCAGTACGGTAAAACCACAAAAAAAGATGCCAAGCTTATACCACCACTCGGATTAGAAAGGCAAAGCGGGTGAGTGACAAACATCAGACAGTTTTTGGGTTCTCAGCTGAACTGCAATTCTACCCTTGACAAATTTCTGCTGTAACCACTCCCACTAATTAAAAATAAAAATAATACAAAAAGGAGATTTGTTCCTAATCCAGGGAGACCAAAACCAGGTCCCTGTCACCTTAAAATCACCATTAAAGAGCCTTTCCGTGGGCTGGAGGGGTTGGAACAAGACACCAGCTCACAATAAACCATCCTGACACAAAGCTGCCAGGTATTAACGTGGATCTCAACCCCTTCCAAACTGCCACTGCCCTGAGAACCCTTCAGAGTTACTGCACGTTTGGGAGATAACTGAGGAGAAGGGTGTGGGGTTTTTTT